CCTCAACTCGGAAGGGGTGAGAAGAAGAAGAAGAAGGAGAAGGAGGGGAAAAGCAAGAAAAGAGAGAAGAGAAAGAATGAGATAAAGGATAAGTAGTACCAAATAATAACAAATGGGAATACAATACCTGGGGCGAACAAAACCACATAACGCAATAAAGATCTAAGAATATGAAGGGGTATGTGTGCTACTAAGACTATCAGTGAGCAAATAAGAAACTTCCAACTACTTACTAATTTTCTACCATAATCCTCGATCCCCACACTCTCCTATCAAGGGTCAAGTCCGTAGTGAGCTGAACCAGTGTCATATCCTGCCTAATCACCTCTCTATAGTACTTCTTAGGCTTACCGCAACCTCTTCTCAAACCTGTCATGGCCAACCTCTCACACCTCCTAACGGGAGCATCAATGCTTCTCCTCTTAACGTGTCTGAACCATCTCAGCCTCGGCTCCCGCATCTTGCCCCCACAAAGGCCATACTCACTTTGTCCAAGATAATTTCATTCCTAATCTTATCTCTCTTGGTACACCCACACATCCATCTCAACGTCTTCATTTCTGCTACTTTCATCTTCTGCACATGTGCAGGGAGTTCTTGACTAGCCAAAGCCCCATACAACATAGTCGGTCGAACCACACTCTATAAATTTACTTTTAAGTCTTGGCGACACATCCTTATCACATAAAATACCGGATGCGAGCCTCCATTTTATCTCCCATGCGATGTGTGACATCGTCGTCAATCTCCCTATTACCTTAGCTAATAGATCTGAGATACTTGAAACTACCTCTTTTGGGGATAGCTTGAGCATCAAGCTTTACATCCACGTCTGTTTCATGGGTCCCGTCACTGAATTTGCACTCAGGTATTCTGTTTTAGTCCTGCCCAACTTGAAACCTTTAGACTCCAAGGTCTATCTCCAAACCTCCAACCTCGTGTTAACTCCACCTCACGTCTCGTCAATCAACACTATATCATCGGTAAATAGCATGCACCAAGGCACTTCCCCTTGGATGTATCGCATCGGCACATCCATCGCCAAGGCAAATAAAATCGGGCTAAGAGCCGATACCTGGTGCAGTCTCATCACAATTGGGAAATGCTCCAAGTCACCTCCCACAGTCCTCACCTGAGTCTTAGCACCATCATACATATCCTTAATCACCTTAGTGTACACTACCAAAACGTCGTTAGCCTCCAAACACCTCCACAAAACCTCCCTCGGAACTTTATCATATACTTTCTCAAGGTCAATGAATACCATATGCATGTCCTTCTTCCTTTCCTTATATTTCTCCACTAATCTCCTCACCAGATGAATCGCTTCCGTAGTTTAATGCCCCGACATGAAACTACCTCTTTTGGAGATAGCTTGAGCATCAAGCTTTACATCCGCGTCTGTTTCATGGGTCCCGTCACTGAATTTGCACTCAGGTATTTTGTTTTCGTCTTACCCAACTTGAAACCTTTAAACTCCAAGGTCTATCTCCAAACTTCCAACCTCGCGTTAACTCCGCCTCATGTCTCGTCAATCAATACTATATCATCGGCAAATAGCACGCACCAAGACACCTCCCCTTGGATATATCGCGTCGGCACATCCATAGCCAAGGCAAATAAAATCGGGCTAAGAGCCGATACTTGGTGCAGTCTCATCTCAACGGGGAAATGCTCCAAGTCACCTCCCACAGTCCTCATCCGAGTCCTAGAACCATCATACATATCCTTAATCACCTTAGTGTACACTACCAGAACGTCGTTAGCCTCCAAATACCTCCACAAAACCTCTCTCAGAACTTTATCATACACTTTCTCAAGGTCAATGAATACCATATGCAAGTCCTTCTTCCTTTCACTATATTGCTCCACTAATCTCCTCACCAGATGAATCACTTCCGTAGTTTAACGCCCCAACATGAATTCGAACTGGTTCTCGGAAATAGACACACAACTCCTCACCCGGACCTCCACCACCCTATCCCGAACCTTCATAGTGTGACTTAACAACTTTATACTCATATAGTTATTTCAATTTTCGATATCACCCTTGTTCTTGTATAATGGAACCATCGTACTTCACCTCCATTCTTCGGGCATCTTCTTCGTCCTGAAAATAATATTAAACAATCCAGTGAGCCACTTAATAGCTCTCGCCCCGCGTTATTCCAAAATTACACCAGGATTTCGTCTGGCCTCTACACATCTTACGCATCGCCCCTTCCACCTCCTCTAACTTAATCCGCCTACAATACCCTAAATCCCGCTGACTCTCGGAATGCTCCAACTTACCCAAACACAATGCTTCTATTCCCCTCCTTGTTCAATAGTTTGTGAAAGTATGAGCCCGTTTGGATTGGCTTGTTTTAAGTGCTTTTAAGCCAAAATAACTTTGAAGTCATTGTGTAGTGTTTGGATAACGTAAAAAGTGCTTTTAAGCACTTCTTTTTAAGCTAAAGTGACAAAAACAAACCAAAAGCAAAAAACTAGAATTCCTAACTTATGGCTTAAAAGCTATTTTAGCTTAAAAGTCGCTTAAAATAAGCCCATCCAAACGGGGGCTATGTCTGTCATTTTCTTCTAATAAGTGCCTCGTCCATCAATACTTTGTCATCCTTGTCCTTGATGCACTTGGCTTGGTCTAAGTCACAGGCCTTCCTCTCCCTCATTTTGGCCAACCAGTACAACTTCTTATCCCCACCTTTGCCCTCGAGCTCCTCCTATATACGACCAAACGCCGCATTCTTAGCCGCCGTAACTACTAACTCTGCCTCTTTCTTTGCCTTTTTATAACACTCCTGATAAGTCCTTTTTTCCTCCTTATTTGTACTCTCCACTAGCTTCAAATAAGCATCTTTCTTGGCTTTCACTTTACCTTAGACCTCTCCATTCCACTACCAGTCCACTTTATGACCCCTAGAAAAGCCCTTCGTGACCCCTAAGACCTCTCTAGCAGCTTACCTAATGCAATTTTGATGTCGTGATCCATATACTAGTCGTGTCCCTCTACTCCTCCAGGCCCTCATAGCCAGTAACCTCTGCCCCAACTCCTGAGCTTTGTCCTTGGCCAAGTTACCTCACTTGATTTTAGGTTGCCTACAGACCGCCCTCTTCCTCCTACTCATTTTGATCTCCAAGTCTATTACTAGGAGTCTATGTTGGGTCGTGGGGTGATCACTTGGGATAACCTTGATATAAGTGCAAAGACCTTTATTACATTTCCTGTAGAGAAGGTAATCAATCTGAGTCTTAATCATGGAATTCGGATGCTCCTCCTGCTTCGAAAAACTCGAGTTAGCTATAACCAAATTAAAAGCTCTAGCAAAATCCAAAAGTGAAGTACCTCCCTCATTCCTATCCCTAAAATCGAACCCGTCATGCACATCATCATAACCGTTAGCACTAGCCCCAATATGGCCATTGAAATCTCTGCCATGAAAAGCTTCTCGGTGTGCGGGATAATACACACTACCTCGTCCAAATCCTCCCAGAATTGCTGCTTGACCTCCCGGTCCAAACCTACCTGGGGAGCGTATGCACTAATCACATTTACAATAAACCCTCCAACTACAAGCTTAATACCCATCAACCTATCGTTTACCCTCCTAACCTCGACCACGAGCTCCCCGAGGTCCCTGTCAACTAAAATACCTACCCCATTCTTATCCCCAACACTTCCTGAGTACCATAGTTTAAACCCGTCTACATCTCGTGCCTTAGTACCCTTCCATCTAGTCTCCTCGACACACGTTATGTTGATCTTCCTTTTCTGAAGAATCTTACCTAATCTATAGACTTCCCCGTCAACATTCCTATGTTCCAGGACCCAACTCTCAGCTTAGAGGCTCCCTTATCCCCCTTCCCACCCCTGGTCCCTACCCCCAACTCCACCCGAGGACATGACCGTACTCTCACATCATTCACTACAACCACTATAAGCTCGAGGCATTAAGTAATCACTACCACTAAAAACAAAAAGCGAGAACAAAGGAAAACAAGCTAGGAATCCGAGAGCTAAAAAAACACAAAGGCGCTACTACGAAAACAGCAATGCAAGCAGCCACTAGAGCAGTGAATCTACCTCGTCTAATAAACTACCACTGTGCAAACAGAAAATTAAAAAGGGATAGACGAAACCTTAAGCTTAAAAACACTAATTGCAAAGACAATAAATCAAGAAAGTATTGTCTACCTAAAGCAGTCAATCCACCGACGGTTAGCCGGCAAGGCAACCAAAAAGATGTAATAAACACAAGGGACGAATACCGGCGAGGCAACAAGAAGGAAGACAAGACTAAAGAATATTCTACGAATAAGAATGAGTGAACCAGATAACAACAAGCCAAAAAGAATCGGTACTAATTACAAGTACAGAGAAAACAAGCAAGTATTGTCTACCTAGAGCAATAACTCCAACTACCAAAACTAACAGATGTGTACACAATCAAAAATTCGAAAATTAGTTAATTTGAATTCTTGGTAGTTGTAAAAGATATTTTATAGAAATATAACATGTTAAACATTGTTGATAATCACTAATGGTCAAGGCAAAACTTCAAGTAAGGTATGAGAGCCTAAAGTGAGTATCAAGTGCAAAATAGTTTATTTAAGAAAATATGTAGCATAGAGAGTCTTTCTTTTGTATGGAGTAATCTTAAACACAGCAAAAAGTATTCATGCAAAGATATGACATTGTGACTAATGTTACAAAGGAGAAACATACTAACATCAGAAGAGGATAACTTTTTGTATTTCTTATAGAAAGACTCTTACAGCTTACTTTTCACCATTACCTTTAAGCATTATCTTAAACTAACAGTTTTTACCAGCTGAGGCACTTGAGATCTAGTGCCTTAACTATTTTAAACTCTTACAATTACCTGACACTTATCTCACCTATACACAACATATATAACGTATTAACAAATGATTTTGGTCGACTATGCTTCTATTAGTGCATCCTCTTATGGACTTCAGTTTTTCTTATCAGGATCTCTTGCTGGGATCAAGTATTGATGACTCGATATCAACTGCATAAAAGTGATAGTAGAACAAAAGGCTCTACTGAACCAACAGGTGATCCATATATACTTGGAATCCTCCACGGCTCTGATGGAGTATTCCTGCCAAGACCATACAACACAAGAAGATTCTCTGCACTGTATAACTAAGAGCCACTTGTCAAAAAGCAACTAGTGCTGCTGCCTGAGCTACCTATAGCACATGACACATCTTGGACAAGAAATTTTACGCAACGAGTACCAAGAGAATCGAGTATCTCAAGACACTCGTGCAAGTCTTCTTCATTTACCAACATCACCCATTCCTCTTCATCATCAAGATACTCGAGCTGGAACGCCCCGGTCTGCAGTTTGAACCTCTTTGCAACCTCTTCATAGAGTTGAAAGCACCCTGCTGAAGGCTCAAATTTAAATCGGATTCTATCTTCCTTGTAAGTAGCTTTTATGGTTATATGTGACGCACCATCTTCACTCCTTGCCTTAACTTTGGTATGCTTTCGTTCACCAAAACTGTGAGAGCTTGATGAACTGCCATTCATTATTGAACCGGACACATTGGACAAATCTGTCATGCCTGAAGAACTTCCCTTGTTATGTTCCATAACAACATCATCTCCATCCAGTTCGTTACTTGCTCTAGTTTTTGTCTTAACATCATCAGCGTCAGGCATGGAATGTGGACATCGATTGATGAAATGGTAGCCGGAATTGTCCAATTTTAAATTGCTTGTGCTCAAACCACAACTCCTACATCCTTCTTTTGTACGGAAAGAACCTAGTGACACATTTCTAGAGTTGGTACATTGCATTGTGTCCTGACTTGCAGGCCACTCTGCTAGTTGGTTTCCATCCACATGCGTATCCTCTTCCATTTTCACCACAGGGTCGTGGTTGTCAATGCATGAAGTTTGGAGGACAGAGACATCATCCTGAAAAAGGGAATCCGGATTTTTCACACAGACGTTTTTGCAGGGAAAGAGGATACCTTTCTCTGAGTCAAAATCTTGAAGGATAGAGCTTGTTGCAACTAGACCTCCAGTGGCTGGATCAAATTTAAATCCTCCTTCTATCCCTTGGACTGATTTAAGCACAGTTTGTATCTTTACTAAAGAACGATTCACTTTGCCTATTTTTCGGGAAGGCCATCTTGGGATCCCATGTTGCCGACATATCCTTTTCAATGTAGTCGGACACACTACAAAAAACATAACAAATAAACTGTTATACCATCTTTTGCAAGGTCGTTAATTTTGTGCTTTCAACTTCAAACAGTTTTATATGTACCACTCTTTTTAAACCTTAAAGAGTCTGCATCCTTTGATAATGACACTTTTCTTTTAAGAAAATAGTTAACGTAATGTTTTTTCTTCTGTCTCCCATTTGTTTTTCCTTTGGGGGTATGCTAAACTTTTTGGCTTAATTAAGCTGTCACCTAAAATTTCAGGCACTACTAACAGATACATAGAATTAGAAATTGAATTGGCACAAAGAAAAATAGCATATTCGACTCCTGATAGGAGAGTTTGGATGTATGGGTTAGAGCCCAAAATCACGTTAGAAGGCAAATAGAGGGACAAGAGACGGTACTCAGTACGCGTATACTAGCCCCAATTTGGAACGACCACAAAAATCTGACAAGGTCCATAAAGCTTTTGCAAGGTATCTCTCAGAATCAGAAAATCACAACCCAATGGAACGGGAAACATACCAGCATAATAATACATTTTTCAAGAATGTTTAATTAGTTGATTGTTTCCACTTGACGAGAGCTTGAAAGCTTACCACCAATGCTTTTGGCAGCATCCTTGAGGCTCCCAGAGAAGTATTGCTGAAGAACACTCAAGCTGACATGTTTCTCTGCCACGCTTCTTTTTTTCTCTTTCTGTCTTCTTGATACACTCCTTGTCTACAAAGTAAAATGCAATAACTTCAGTACTGAAAGACAAAAAAGATGATCAGAATTTGAAAACGTATAGAATGAACATAACTTGTCTAGGAGCACATAAAGTAAGAGTTACTGAAACACAATTCTCAAGAGCGAAAGACATTCACTCAAGAACACGTAAAAAGGGTGGGGAAAAAAAGATTCTGAAGAGCACATTATAAAAATAGAACAAGTTAAGACCTTAAGAAGAGTAAAACATAGTCCACCAAATAAGCTAGGGGAGCATAGACTAGATAACAGTAAGGAAGTTGAGTTAAGTGATGTACCTGTTCGCGAGAACCATCAGCTTCCATTCCAGCTATTTCTGAATCACATATGTCTAAAGTTTCTTTACTGAAATCTAAAGTGCTGCCTAATAATGGATGCTCAGAAATCTTCCTTGATAAGTCAATTGATGTTAAATCCAGAACCGATTCACTCTGTAACCCAAACTTTGCACCCCCTTGTCCAACTAATTCAGCATCTGATATTGTCCTCAGACTTTTGCAAATTCTCTGCATGGTACGCGAGAGGTTATTTAAGAGAAGCTGTTGTTCGGTGCTTCCCTTTTTATCGACAGGAAGAAAAAACTCCAATACGTAATCATCATCACCGGTGAATATACTACGTAATCTGATAGCAACTGCAGCATTTAGACCAAACTTCCGTGCATGGTGAACAAGTGGATACTCACTTATATGGTACTCTTTCACATCAGGGTAGAAGAAGGGATGGTTGGATTGGAGAGATTTCCCAACAATACCTTGTCCTTCCTCGAGATCATGTCCCATACATGCATGAACAAATCCGTGCATCTCCTTGTCACTCACATAACAAACTGTATTCTCAACACATAATATTCGTTTTTCATCTGAGCTTGCAATACATCCTCCTGTACAAATACGGGGAATCCACGTCAAAGCAAGAGGCAGACTATGAGCATGGCAAACCGCTCGTAGAACATCTTTTATCTCAGCTAAAGCAGCTCTTTGATTCTTGGAAAGATTCTGCAAGGAAGCAAAATTAGAAGGGAACAAAATATTCCAAGACAAAAAGAAATGGCCACAAACAATGCGTAGATCACAGATAGGATTAAGACATTGAGTATTACCTGGGAAGTAAATTGAGGAGGTGTTATGCTCCTTAAATTTACGGCCTGCAAAATGAAGGAATTGAGGATTACACAGAAATCTTAAACCTTTTTTTTTGAGGATACAATTAAAATAGATTAAGAGATGATCATCAGCATAAACTTTCGACCAAGCCAGCTATGAGCTAACACATAAAGATCGACATTTGATCAACCAAAAATGCCCTTCTATGTGCCTTGACATACACAAGAGCAATAGATAACTGGGCTACATATCCAACTAAAACATAATAATGAAGGAAGAACACTGACAAAACATTTTCCCTGCTGACAGAAAAGAACTTCATTACTGTACATCACGAGCATCACCAGAAAAAAAAATGAAAATGAAAATTTACAATGTGATTTTTAGTGATACACTATATTGGAAGAAATTATTAAAACAATCAATTCATGCTAAATCACATTTTCTGTTCTTTTTAAAGCTCTTCATATCCAATCAAAGGCACTTAAAGGCAATAATATTCGATCTAAACTTCATCCATCGATACTTATTAGCCTGCTCATCAAGCTTTTAAACAGGTTCCAAAATATATTCTGAGGCAGATATTACAATTTTTGGATCATCTATTTCTATCCTCAATATGCTGAAATAAAATTCTCTCTCAGTGGAAAAGGTACTTTTGCAATGAAAAACAAAGGAACTGATAGAATTAAAGCAAGAACCTGTAGAGCCCGGCAAACATGTACCATTTCCAAATCAAAATTCGACTTCTCTTTTGTAGTGACTAGTTCTAGTACTGCACAACACGACGAATCATGTCCATCATCCTCTAGAACTGGTAAAGCAATCGATCCACGGACTTCATGGTCAACTGCATATTGTACACGTAAATACTCGGCCTCTTTATAGTACTGAACATTTGATGTCCACTCGGGTATTCTCGAGGTAAAAACCCGACCAGGAAGACCAGGAAAAGATCCTGGTTTCATCTCCACATCAAAAGTGAATTTCCTGGATACCTCTCGATATCCAGATAGAACTTGATCAAGTAAAAATGGCTGTTCACAGGTGCTTAAAATGTAGTGAGCATCACTATTCTTCATTGGAATCCAAACCTGAGCCAAGATTCCCCCACCAGATGATTCTTTAAACAGTTCTAATGCCTTGAGCATTCGCTCCGAAAGTGATTGACAAGGTGACTTTGGGATTATACAGTTGTCAGTATCAGTAACATAATCAGCCTCGTCGCGAAACTGGTCATCATTCTTCTGCTGAAACATCCAATTTTCGCCTTCACAGGGAAACTGTTGTTCATAGTTCAATTGTTCAAACGGTGCATAATTGATGGACATTGGATTAATCGGCGAAAAAGATGGATAAGAGGCAAATATTTGCTCTATAGCATGGGGGCTAGAGCACCAACCGGCATATGCTTCAAAATTCATCATCTCCATTGCATTGTTGAATGTTTCATCTATATGTGAAGACATTGTACCTCCATCAAATGAGACAATACCCTCCATCAAATAAGTTATTGCACTAGCTGCTAGAGAAGCCTCAAATTATCAAAGTATAAAATCTTTCCCCAATTCTCTTTTGGATAAATCAGAGCGATAAAGGCTGAATCTCAATATATCGTCATAGAAAGATCACTCTGATCTGTTACTTACAATCTTCAACAAAAAGACACATGTTGTGTATGGCTAAGAAGCAAAGAATTAAGTGACTAATACTAAGGTTTTGGATATAGCAAAAAGAGTTTCCCGAAAAACCTAAGTAGATTTGAATTCTATATGTAATGACAATATAAACTCCGCCGTGTGAAGAAAGAGCTGAGACTGTACAAAAACACAACGCGGGTTCCAAGGAGGAGAGATAAGAAATGTAAGAATTATTTAACAGCAAGTGATTGAACGTTAAATTTTGAAGGGTTAACATCTGTCTTTTAAACTAAATTTTCATCATTTAACTAAATTATAATAGTCAACTTGAATCATTAAGATTTACTATTTCCTCTGTTTAATTTGTACGGCAGAGATTGATCGGCACGCTTCTTTCATTTTTTTTTTTTTTTTTTTTTTAAAAA